CCCCAAAACCCCAAAACCCCACTAGGAAATAAATCATGATATTAATGAATTATTTGATAAATATCAGCAAAATGAAAATATCTTCCAAACATATTATTTACTTTTGAATAGATTCAATATATCAATAATTAATATTCACTAATGTTTATGGCTTCTATCAAAGCTAAAATGATACTCTATCTAGCTCTAAATCTTTTTACCTTTACCAAAGCAAATTATTATTATTGGGAGTAGGGCTCAGATTGGAATGGCCAATGCGTAAATGGAACATTGTAGAGCCCTATCGACATTCCTGAAGCACTCTTTTGGAATCCCCTTGCCAAAGTCACAAGTGAGGAACTACATGGAATGGATATTGAGAGTAAGATTGTGTGGACTAGGAGACTAGATTTCTTCGCTAGCTATGCCAACTTCGAAAATAAAACAATATCCTCAGATGACCAAAACAGCATCAAAGTTGATTTTGACAAAGGGTCTCTTGTGTTCATGGACGAGACCGCAGCTCTAAGAATTTTCTAATTAAAGCAATTCCATTTCCACGCGCCATCTGAGCACACATTTAATAACAGAACAAAGCACTATGACTTAGAACTACACTTAGTACATCAAAGATGGGATGAAGACTACTAGAACGAATTAGCTGTTTTGGGAGTCTTTTTTGACATGAAGGCTGGTGGCAATGAGACAAATCCATTCATTGAGTCAATGAATGTTAAAAATATGGTCAATGATAAGGGAGAGACTCAATTCGTTGATTTGACTGCTCTTGTAGACAATCTTAATAAGACCAAAGGACTCTTTCACTATAATGGTTCTTTGACTACACCTCCCTGCACATAGTCTGTGCACTGGATAGTAGTAGATGACCCTCAACCTATCACTTATGAATAACTCGCTCTTTTCAAGAAAAATTGGCAATACAATACCACATTTGCTGGAGGATTGGGTAATAATAGAGATGTCTAGCCAGTTAATCAGAGAATTATTTACAAAAGATGGTGGACTCAAGCATATAATATTGTTTTACTTGGCACTTCATCTATTGCTATTGCTTTGACTCTATCCATGTTTTGAGCAAATCATACCTTAGAACAGATTTATGAACTTATATTGTCAGATGGATCGACAACAGAATATGTCGCTATCTGATTCATTCCAAATATTAAGTAATGTTATTAATTTTTATTACTTTGATTCTGCATCATTCATTATCTTATTCATGGGGTTTTGGGGTTTTGGGGTTTTGGGG